GTGTTTCTTGTATACAGCATATTGTTGGATTTTGTTTCCTAATCCACTGTGCCAGTCTATTTCTCTTAATTGGTGAATTGAGTCCATTTACATCAATGGTTAGAAATGAGATGTATTGACTTACAGTTGACATGTTACTTACCTGTCGTCATTTACTCCTTTTTCTCCTGTGTTTAATTGCTTGCCCTATTTAGTTGGTTGTTCTGATCTCATTTGTGGAGTTCCTATCATTTTGGTCCCTGTCTAGAACATCTTTCAAGTAGGCTGTATAGGGTTGGCTTTGTCATCATGAAATTGTTTAGCTGTTCTTTGTCATGAAAGTATTTCACTTCTCCATCAACCTTGAAAGAGAGTTTTGTAGGGTATAGTAGTCTGGGCTGGAAATTGTTTTCATGCAGGAGTTGAAGTACTCTGCTCCATGCTCTTCTTGCCTTCATGGTTTGTGAAGAGAAGTCGGCCGTAATTCTGTTGGGTTTTCTTTTTAATGTGGTCTGCTTCTTTTCCCCAGCGGCTTTCAGTATATTATTCTTGTGCTGATTTTCTGGGATCTTGACTATTATATGTCTCGGTGTGTTTTTCATTGGGTTGAGGTTACTTGACGTTCTGTACGCTTCGGTTACCTGAATGTCAGATTGTTTCCTCATATTTGGGAAATTTTCTGCTATTACTTCTGCCCATATTTTTTCAATGTCATTTGTATTGACTCCTTCTTTCTTATTGATGCCTATTAGTCTCACATTGTTCATCTTTGCATCATCTTGCATCATTCTTTGCATTGTTCATCTTTGCATCATCTTGCATCATTCTTTCCTGTATATTCGTTGTTTTTAAGAGATCCTTTTTTACCTTTTCACTAGCCGCACCAGCATCTTCAAGATCTGAAACTCTGTGTTCACTTTCACTTAAATGGTTTTGCAAGCTTGTGATTGAGATTTTAATTTCCTATATATCTCTTTGACTCTGCTTCATGTGATCTATTTCTTTCTTTTATTACTCATTCAAGGAATCCGTCATTTTTGTAATCTCTATTTTTTTTTTGTCAGTGTCTTTTTTTGAAGCAGTTATTAAATCTTTTATTGCATTTTTTTTTTTCAGATTGGGTTTCCTCCCTATGTTTCTGCAGTTTCTTCTTTATTTTTGATGCTATGAATTCTGAGATTTCTTTTTTCATTTCAGAAAAGAATTGCACGCTGAGTTCCTCTATATCTTTCTGAAGTTGCTTATTTTAATCGACACTATTAATTCATACGTTTGAGCCAAGCTAGTGTCCTCCTCACTTGTTCTGAGTGGGCATTGCGTTTCCTCCATATGTTTCATACATTTGATTTTTTCCTGCAGATGTTATTAATTCAGGGTTTTCTTTTTTTATTTCCAATCTGAGTTCCTCTGTACCTTTCTGCAGCTGTTTTTTTTATTTCAGAAGCTGTTGATTCATTTCTTTCAGCTGTGGGATTCCCAATTTGTTCTGTGTTAGTGTCCTCTGCACTTGTTATGGGTGGGCTTGGGTTCTGAGGTTGCATTTGTTCTTTCTCGTCATTTTGCATAGAAGTGTCTTCTGACCTTTGTTGTAGATCGTTGTCGTAGTTTTTTTTTTCTTTTCAATGTTTTATTGATTAACATATAGCAATGAGACAGTTTCAAATCAAATCGAAAGTACAGTTTCAACAAATAATACACTGCATATATTCTTCTTAGTG